CATAATGTTTTTCATGTATCGATGTTACGAGCATATGTGTGCGATCCAGAGCATGTGCTTCAGCATAATGAGATACAAATTCAACCAGATTTGACTTATGAGGAGAAACCGATAGCAGTTTTGGATCGAAAGGTTCATAGACTTCGGAAACGAGATATTCCACTAGTTCGTATCAAGTGGAATAGACATGGAGAATCAGATGCCACTTGGGAGCGAGAAGCAGATATTAGAGCTCGATTTCCAGATTTCAAGTTTTGATGATCTCAGTAAGTTCTATTTTATTTCAAGTATTAGTATTTCCGAGGGCAGAAATAGTTTAAGTGGGGTAGATTGTAATATCCCATTCAGTTAAGTATCAGTTATCTTCAAAACCGAGAGATTTTCAGGGTAAATAAGTTTAGAAATTAAAGTTTTTTAAGCCACACGGGTCGTGTCACAAGTGACACGGGTCGTGTGGAGTCACACGAGTCGTGTCACAAGTGACACGAGTCGTGTGGCTCAAGATGCTATCAAAATGTTGTTTCGGCTTTGTGACACGAGTCGTGTCACTAAGTGACACGAGTCGTGTGAGGTCACACGAGTCGTGTCACTAGGTGACATGGGTCGTGTTGCCGACAAAATTTCAGATTTTTGAGAGTTTGCATTTAATGCCAACCGATATGATTTTCTAGCTATTAATTATGTTAGCTGATAATGTGAATTGTTAGGTGAGGATTTATTTAAGTTGATTAAATTTTAGAAGTTTAAATTGTTTAAATTGTTAATTTTTACACTCCAAATAAATTTTTCAAAAATTTTGGCTATAAATAGGGGCCTTTAGAATCTGAAATTTCACACCAAAAATATTTCCAAGTTATAAGAGTGGTAATTATAGTAGAGTGATAATTATAGTGGAAGGAGGAAATTCTTGAAGGAAGGATTTTTGGAGTAAAGAGTTCTTGAAGTGAAGTCTAGAATCTTTTTAAGTTCAAGTCCTTGAAGGAGGTAATTCACTTATGTGAAGATTCATATTCATATTAAGTTCATGGTTATATTGATTGTTAGTATGCATGTTTAAGTATTATGATTATTATGTTAAGTTCAAGTTGTTATATGCTCTAATGATATAAGGATTATTTAGTATGACTTTGCTAGAATTGAGATTTTGATACTTGTTTCCATGATATAATGAAGTATAATTATGTTTTAAGTATAGTTTGAAGTTAGTATGCAATTTGATATCATGATATTAAAATGAGAAATGATTAAGTAGTATATATGATTATTTCATGTTAAAGTTTTTAAGAGAAGTGGATATGAAATGTTCATGATGTGTAAGTTGTTATAAGTATAAATTTTAGAGCATTTATTATGAGTTAAGTATGTTAAGAATGCAATTTTCATAAATGGTTTTAAGTTTTGATGTTATGATTTAAAGATGAGTTTTATGAGTAATTTAGTAAGTTACATTGCATGAGGATAATGTTGGTAAAAGATAAGTATGTTTGAGTTTATGTATAATTTGAGTTAATTTCAAACCAACATTTATGTTTTATCAAGTATGATTAATATGAGTTATGGGATTGAATAAAAGTTGAGAAGATTTAAAGTTATTCAATGTATTTTATTGAGCTATAGCATGTTTCGGATAAGAAATAAATTAATAGTTAAAGTTAAAGAATTTAAGTATGTTATTGAGTATTCGAGCATAGTACTTAGTATATTTGTTTATATTTTTATGAAGCGTTACAAGTCGGCTACGAGAACAACACTTACAAACAATTTTTCAACAAGAAAGGTGGGGACCCAGACTGGGTATTACATTGAGTATAATAGCTATTATCATGTTCGAGGTATGTATAAAGTTAAGTAAAGTATTAAGCTTGCTCAGTAAAGATTGGGTTCTGTGGGAGGCGACCCCCAGAATGTGATCACGTGAGAACCGGCCCAAGTTACCGGTAGTTGCAAAGTTCAAGTTAAAGTATCGGTTAGATACAGAAAGATTAAGCTTAGATACATACCAAAGATCATGATATTGATATTATTATAGTTGTTTACTTTAGTATGGGTTTTTTACGGAGTACAGTTGATTAGTACTCACGCCCCACTATTATCATTTTTCAGGAAATAAAGACGGTGCGCAGGTGTGAGGAGCTGTGGTGGTCGTGTATTTGTTGAAGTTTTTATTGAGAATTTTCAATAAGGTTTCGGTTTGTAAACCACGCTTGTAAGATTTCCGCTACGTTTCTTTAAGATTTGAAAAGGTGTGATTTTAAGTGTGATTTTAAAGGTTGATTTATCAAGTTGATTGTATGAACTGTTAAGTTTTTATATTTGTTCAATGTTTAAAAATCTGTTTTATTTATGTCTAATTTAGTTGTTAGATGAAGTTTAAGTAAACAGATTTTTAAAGTAGATAAGTTAGTAGCATCCCGAGTTAAGAAGGTTTCGAAAAATTTATAAGTATTTTCGAAATAAGTTGCGAAAAATTTACTCTGATAAGCGGGGTGTTACATGATGGATGCTTCGCAAGGATATCACCAGATACCGTTGGCTCTAGAAGACCAGAAGCGGGTGAGCTTTGTCACATCTAAGGGGACCTATTGCTATGTTGTTATGCCTTTCGGCCTGCGTAATGCGGGAGCAACCTATCAAAGGTTGGTGGATAGGATGTTCGCGGGACAATTA